AGTACTTCGTATAAAATACAATAACCAATGTACATACATATGTATACATATATATATATATATATTTTTTTTTTATTACGAAAAGAAATAAATGAAATTCATACCTCATCTAATCGAAACGCGAAAACACACTATCGTTAGAAATTCACTGTATTTCCCGCGTATCCAAGAGCAATAATCAACGAGATTATTCAGCCCTTTTCATATCTGTACAAAAATATATGTGTGTACACATGTCTCACCGAATCTTTGACCTACAGTCTGTTTTAAACGGGACACATAACATACTAATCGTGAATGATGCATAGAATCAGGATTCCCTTATCGATACGATTACCCTTTAAATGGATTCTATTAACCAATTAACCGAACAATTAATTATTACTTTAAGCTACGACATTTAACAATTGAAAGTGAAATATGAATATTTTTCATTGAATAAAATTCACTCGATTTATGCTCAACATCGACGATTTGCAACGTATGTCTCGATATGCAAAATGTTTAAAACACACTGTGCGTCGTGTCATCCCACGTGTAACATGCATTCATATAGATTTAGTTCGTATGGAAACTCAATGATTGATATTTGTTTTTCTTTAACAAGTAATTATACAAAATTTCTTACGCTGCTGGCACAGCTTCATCAATGAATCCACAACGAAGGTATTTTTCTTTTCTTTTCTTTTCTTTTCTTTTCTTTACACAATGTAGTTTTTTTGGCATATCGTGCAAAAAACCACATCAATAGATAGAGACACGCACATAACACTTTTGCACGGAAAATCAAATTTTTATGTATAGATTTAAAAAAAAAAAAAAAAAGGAATTAGCTTGAACAATCATACTAAAAAGTATACTAGTAAAGAATTTCATTATCAACTAATAGGCGAAACACGGTTTTGTACCAGAGTCAACATTAAATACACAAATTACATCCCATAATCTATATTTCACACCAATCGATAGCGATGTATTTTTAACTAGTTTTTTCTGTTCTGTTTCATTGGGAATGAGATCCATTTATATATCCACATATTTGTAACACTTACAACATTTATAAAATGATTTATTATGGAATATATCTTATCGTTAATGTAAGTATCATCTTTATAATATTTAGTAATTTTATAATACTTTAATGTATAAAGTAATAAGTAAGCTTTAATTATACTACATCGATGAATTACGTCATATGAATGTTAACAATAGAGGAGGAGGAGTTAGCACGTTTTTAACGTTGAACTCGAACTAATGTTGAATGTACAAGATAAAAAGATTAGCACACCAATGTATAAAGTCATCAAGCTACCAAATATTATAAAATATAATACAATTATAAGAATTAAAATAAATACTTTCATTCGTTAATCGGTTGAAATCGTAAAATCAATCTTTTCTAATACTAGAATTTAGAATCAGATGCAGAATTTACATTGCAAAATGTATATAATTTTAGGCCATTCGAACAATGATCACTGAAGTCAATAATACCATAATGTAAAACGATTATTACAAACGAACAAGAAGAATGAAATGAAATGAAATGAAAATCAAATGATTTACAAACTCTTATAAATTATATAAGTTGTACACTCTGGTCCAAAATCCAATAAATTCTAATCAATTATCTCAGGAAGGCAGATTTAGATATGCTATGTATCTGCGTGTCAATTCTCTGTTTTATACAAACTGTAACTTACTTCTATAATTCAATCTAATTTCTTATATATATGTATAATAATATCTATATCTTAATACACACATATCTCAGTCTATCTGTACATACTATTTTAACGCAAGAGAAATTCTCTTGCGCCATTACAATTAAAAACCGATACAAAACCGACGGAATCTTCCTTTCAATAGAAGTATAATTTGAGATGACTTCTTTTTTTTTTTACATTGTCGCCGTCGCTAATTTTTATCTTATGTCACAGATCACCTAAATCATTAGATAAAATTATACACTCCTTTCTTTCCCTCGTTATCTTTCATATCCTTTTTTTAGTCGTACGTTCGCTTAAGAAAAGAGCGTCATTCGTACTATAAATAGCATTATAAATAATGCTAAACGCATATCGTTAATTATTTAACAATCATTGGTCTCGCAAAGCCTGTATGTTTTATCAACCATTGCAGCGAGAGATAAGAAATAAGTGTTACAATGAGATGCAAAATATCTATTTTCTAAAATCCCATGTAAACCACAAAGTAGTATATCACGGTTCATCCGCGATACTTGATCTGTACAATATACATAATGATTTAGGTTTTATCTTTTAATCGGAATCATATCAAAAGCAATATGTTATTTTGGATAAAAACAAGCAGGTTATAATATTATAAATTAACATTAAATATCAATGTACTAAATTAATTTTCCTCAATTATAAATAAATGTATTGTACTTGTACAATAAATCTTCTTCTTGATAAACATCTGTTATCTCGGAAAAATGAAATACAATATAATATAATACATACAAAAAGTTAATAGTTTTGCATCAAATCAAAATAGAAAAATAACATTCGCAGTCGTCAAGATTGCCATTCGACCGTAGTATAATACTTTATCTTCAATATCCACTCGCAACAGTATTCAAACGGCATCCGATAATCTGCAGTACCAACTGACTGAATGATGGTTGTAGATAATATTAATTGTCGAACCGTAAGTGCCCAGTCAGTTGAAATTGATAAACATTATAGCCTTGTACAGAATTAACAAGGTAAAGTAGGTTAGTATGTCCTGACGAAGGATGTGGTTTCTTGAATATCTGCCTCATTATCTGTGCCCTGGTATCCCTGAGATTGAGAAAGGGAAAGAAGTGCATCCAGGCCTAATGATTCAGCTAGGGGGTCTGGCGCTCTTGACTACAGTATAGACAACACAAAAAAAAAAAAAATTGCACTAAAACGATAACATAATGCTACTTAGCAAATGAAAAGGGCTCGAGGCTCGAATAACTAAAATAGAGAATTGGGAAATAGTTAAAAATTGAATAGTTGAAGAAACTCAAATGTTACATAATGGAGAAAAAAAGAATTTCACCAAGCAAACCTATGGAATATAAAAATGGCAACGATATCCTAGACATATTAATTTTAGTTTATTTTAACTTACCGTTGAATTTTGCTCTGTCTCTTTACAATTACTACATATATAATCGTCCTCTTCTGCAATTTCTGTACGATCTAATCCAACACAATGCATATGGAACCAACCTTCACAGCCGCCATCACATTGTACCCAATCAACTTCTCTACCTAACACGAACAAAATCAAATGAGAAATGTATAGAACAATACGCATACGTAGAAACGATAATTGCACTAAAATATTCGAATATTTTTAACTAAGAAATATTCCAGATTTAAACTTCGTTGAAAATGAAAATATTCCTACCGTTGGGTCGTAAACAATTGACAGCAGCACAATCATCCTCTTCGTCCGAAGTATCCTGTTTAGTCTTCTTTCTGTGACCACCTCTTCTTTTTGGCCCTTCTTCGCCTTCTTTACGTTTCATCTAAAATTTATATTTAATTAAAATCTAAGCTTATATTTAATTAAGATCAAAGCAACTATATCATATTTATTTAAAGTAATTTAAAGTAATTTAAAATACGCAATAAATATCATATTTATTTAAAGTAATTTAAAGTAATATTTTTAACTAAGAAATATTCCAGATTTAAACTTCGTTAATAAGTATAAGATACTTCTAAATTTATATACCTTACGAGGTCCACGCTTCATTGGCACTGGAGAACTAGCTAATTTTTTCTCTTTCTGTAATCCTTTTCGTTTAGCTAAATTTTTTTCTTCCATCTTTTGTCTTCCAAGTTTTTTCAATAATTCTAATTCGTCGGATTTCCTTTTCCTTCCACGCTTTTTTACGTCTTTTATGTCTTGATTCAAGTTAGTATGAACTTCGTCATACGATGCATACTTTCGGATTGTACTGGGGCTATTTGTATGACTCAGGATACGCCATATGTGTTGTGTTTCATCGAGTGCGACTTCTAATAAATCGCCTTCCATCATTAGTTCTTCTAGACGTATTCTTGCTGTTTGTGAAAGTACAACTGCGACTTCCGTTGCGTCATTTGATTGTGTTTTACGCTGAATTTTTGATACTGCAAAAAAAAATATGAACATCATGAATGTTTTGTTCATATTTATACATTTATTATTTATTATGAAGAAAAATCTTACTATAAGAATACGCATGTTCGTTACTGTTGAATGTACTACAACTTGGTTCGTCATCATCTATAGTAACAACGTCGTCGTCATCATCCTAAAATATTGTCACAAATATATTCAAATCATATATACATATATATGTATTTTAAACGCCGTTTTATTCTAAATATTCATATGAATAAACATACCGCAGTACTAAGTGCACTGTCATCTGAGTGTACACCACTGAGCGGTGCAATTGCTTGAACCCTCTGATGTAATTCAGGATTATTCGCTGCCTTTTTCAATTCACTGCTAATAATTTTTTCTGTCTTCTCCCTTGCTGCTGCTTCCACTAACTTTTGTGATAGCACAGATAATTTTGCTAATGCCGTCGAAATTTCATCTGTGGCTAATGCTTGTCGAGCTCGATCCTATTCGATGTATGTATACTATGTATATTACGTATATCGTTATACGTTATACTACGGTTTATTAACGTCAATTTTTACATAGAGCTCACCTGCCAATTCATTGCACGTTCTGTCAAACACTGTAACGCTTCACCTTCTGACAAACGAATAGGAATTTTCTGAAGACTAACTAAAAGTGCCAAAATTGTCTCTAATCGTGGCCGTCTTGAACGTAAACAACACGGACACAAAAATTTAATTTCCCTCGACATTGGAAATTTTCCCTTATATGATGTCTTTGGCAAAGGTACACAATTTGCTAAAATGCACATTTTATCTAATCATAATTAAGATCAACTAATAGCTATATTCATTGTGACAAAAAACTAATACTTACAGTGGAACCAATCCTTGCAAAGTTCACACTGAAGCATAAGCCCGAATCTTGGTCGACGACAAACACAATACTTTGAATCTTCAATTTTGGTTTTCATTTGGTTCCTTTCCCTTAAATTCCGCATTGCTTCCATTTCGCGTTGTTCAGCTAATTTAAAAGCGGCCACTATAGTAGCTGAATCATTGGAATCGTCCAATTTTGTATCACAGACGAAGACAGGTCCGACAGAATCTTCAATTTTATTCTTTTTAGCTTTTAATGCTTGTATACCAACACCAATTCGTGGTGATAAAGCTTCCATTAAAGTATAATGTGAATTTTTTCTTAGGAATGTTCTCGCTGTCCTCTCTTTCCATGCTTTTGCTTGTGAAAGCGTGGATTCTAAGATTGGAAGAGCATCTAGGTGCAGTGGAATATTTCGGCCTTTCTTAATTAGATCATCTAATGTATTATAGTATGGAAAGTTATCTCTTGCTTGTATCTCGTCCATTATTTTTGTCCAATTTTTTGCTTTATTTAACGTATCTTGAAGAACATCTAAACTTGGTAGATAAGCTTCTACTTTATCAGCTTCATGAATAAATTCTTCAAGAGATGCAATAGTTTGTCTATTTTTAGTATGTAAATACAATTTTGCTTTTTCTTCCCAGTTGTCAATTGCAACCATTAATGCTTGCAACTCTGAGAGAGTATTTTCTATATTTAAATGAGGAGGCATTGTCATACCTTTTTCAATTAATTTTGCTAAATCATCACGATGTATTGACTTTGGATCTTCTTGGATAGACTTTACTTCCTCAAGCCATTGTATTTGCGCTAATTTCTGTAATGAATAAGTATGTGAAAACAGGAACATGTCTTTATCAAGTATGTATAATTCATTCATGTATAATTGTACTATGTGTATGTGTATAATGTATAATTCATGCTTACTTGTTTCAAACATATAAGTTGAGGTAGTTCAATACAAATAGAATCACCAAACTCGATACATTTTTCCAACTGTTCAATATCGCAATCATCTTCTTTAGATTCTACTTCTTTTGCTTCTTTTTGAAATTGCAATACTTGATCAAGTATAAATTTTACTCCATCAGACTCCTTGAGTTCACAGCATAAATTTGTTATTTCTTTATAGAAAAGTGTCAATTCTTCTACTGTAAGCTTGTATTTAGTTTCAACAGATTGTCTGGTTCTGTATGAAAAAATTTAAATAATTTGACCTGTTTAACACAAATCTAACATAAACATAATTTAAAAAACTTCACAATACCTCGTACGCTGTTTGTTGTTTAAAAGTTGTTGCGCAACACTTGCACATTTTTCAGCATCTTGCACAGCAGTTGTTAAAGCTATGAGTAATTCACTTTCTGGGAATTTTTTACTTTCCGCTTCATGTAACAGTTCTTTCAATTCACTTAATTCAATTTTATCACTCTTCTTATCAGGGTCCATTGCCTCTTTTACTTTTGTCACCCACGAGTCAAATGACTCTGCTTTTAATTTTAATTTTTGTAACATAATTGGTAACTCGTCCAAAGTGTAGCGATAACGCAACGTGTGCTTTTCCGGGGGACAATCACAAAGTTCTGTGAAATGCCTTAAACAAACTAACTGAGAACTTTGGCATGAACATGTAACTGCACTCAAGAAACAAGTTGTCTTGCACGCTTCACACTGTCTCTCATCGTCTGGTAAAAGTTCAAATGCCTCTCGTTCTGCTTCTGTTACACCCTGAAAAATATAGTTTTTACCACAAAGATCATTCATGAGACGATCCACTGTTCTTACATTTTAAAAGAAATATTACAACGTAGAATAAGATTATCAAAGAAATACGTGTATCCATCTGTGGACAAATAAATTTTAAAATAGAAACAATTTCCACGTATATATAACTTATTTGATATTAACGTTAACGCTTTTCAATAAAATTAAAAGAAAAATTACAAAAATCTGTGAACCAACGGAGAAAATATATTGCCTGTTTAACATCATGGCAAAACTTTAAAAACATAACCTCTATTCAGCAATAAAAGTTATATAATCAAGAGGAGAGACACACCAAATAGGTATCAACAAGTCAAGGTTGATAACTAAGGAACGATCGCACGCAAACTATTTTAACAATACGAATGCAGGCTAACCAAAAATAACAAAATATGAAAACATTAACAACGATTATAACGTTGTCGATGAAACTACGATGCCCGATCGTAGGTTGGTAATATCAGCCGCACACACGTCTTTCACCGCGTGTACCCGCATGGTTACACGTTGCCGATGTGTGTGTATATGTGCAGCGTTGCATGTGTAGGTCT